GGGTAAATGACAAATTCATAGTCGGCGTCGAAACCGACCCCACCGCCGCGACCACCACAACCACCCTTTCAAAAAGGCTTCATTGTACCCTCTTTCTCTTCATTTCAAATGCTTTCTTTCTCTTGATCCAAGAATTTGCTTTCAGTCCACGCCTCCGTAAATCAGCTGTGCACGCTCGCCGCCGCCGTTATCGCCTGAACGGTCCCTCCGTATCTTTCTTGGGGTTCCGTCGGATTTTCTTGATCTTGATTTCTCCGTATCGATTTTGCAATCAAAGTTCATCGATGGCTTACAGGGAGGACGACTTTCAGAACCCTAAGCCCAAGGGTTCTCCGTATCTCAATCGGTCCGTGACGGTACATCACGGCGGCGGATCGGCCGCCGTGAAACCCTCCGTCGAACGGATGGGGTCTTTCAGGCAGCCGTGTCAGGGATCGTCCGATTTAGAAACCCTGGTCACCGTCGCCGGGAATTCTTTGAAGGGTAAGGTGAAAAAGCTGTGTTCTTTATTCGAGAACAAGAGAAACCCTCGCCTGAGCTCTCCTCCCTCTCCACCGCCGGCCGTGAAGTCAAAAAGTTCAGATTGGTTGCCCGGGACGGAGGACAGGGTGGTAATTTACTTCACAAGTCTCCGGGGAATCCGGAGGACTTTCGACGATTGTTACAGGGTCAGGATGATCCTCAAGAGCTACAGAGTGAATTTGGATGAGAGGGATATATCCATGGACATTGCTTACAAGAAGGAATTGCAGAGTGTGATTGGGGAGAAGAATTTGACACTCCCTCAGGTTTTCATCAAAGGGAAGCGCATTGGGGGCGCCGAAGCCATAAAGCAATTGAATGAGGCCGGAGAGTTGGTCAAATTGCTTAGAGGGCTTCCCCTTCGCCCTCCCGGGTACGTCTGTGAGGGCTGTGGGGACGCAAGGTTCGTTCCTTGCTCCAACTGCAATGGGAGTAGGAAACTGTTTGATGACAAAGAGGGGCAATTAAGGAAGTGTTCCGAGTGCAATGAGAACGGTCTGGTTCGGTGTCCTCTCTGCTGCCATTGATGATCATGTGTCGTTATACATTATGGCGTGGCGGTTCGTTTTCTTTTTTTTTCATCCTGTTTTGGTATGGTTATAACTGAATAGCCTTTGCATCATCAGTGATTATTGTGGTATGGTTATGGCAATATAATGTACATATTGCTTTGTGGGTGACAACTTGTTGTTAAGTGCCACTGATATGTGGGAGTGGCACTTTGGTCTATAAGGGTTATAAGGATGCTGTTTGCTTCTGCTGCCTATCCTCTGCAGCTTATGTAGATGATGAAAGGCTCTTCAAGAAAGAAAAATAATAAAGAAAGGGTTTTAAAAAAAGGCACTTTTGTGTGTGTGTGTTTGTAAGTTATTTATATGCTTCACATCCAAGTTATTTTGCTGAATTTACTGAGGATAAATTTATTTTAACTTCATAGTTTGGTCAAATGCATTTCAGCCAAATGAACAAGTCAAAAGAACACAATATAATCTCAACATTCTAAAAACAAGAAAAAGACACTTTTAGCCCTATTGGCAATGGGAGGCCCTACTTCTTGTAAAAACTACTACTCACTACTATGTTAGAGCTGTAAAATCTGATCAAAGAATGCAACAAAACTGGCAACTTTGTGGCTTGTTTGTTTCTGCCCCAAGTGCAAAAAATAAGAAAAGAAATCTTGGAAATTTATCAACTTTCTGTGCTTGTCATCATCTCTTTACATTTTAGCATGATGGGATGCATCTGAGGCACCTGCAATCTTTTTTGAATGATGAATTGGAAATATTAGTGTTTGTTTTTTTGCTTTGGACGGCTGAATGGGGGAGCCTTGGACCTCTATGCTTGGAAGTTGGAACTGCAATCTCTTAATTTGGCCTTTTCTTTTCAAGACCTATGTGGCTCAAATTCAAAACCAAACAATATATAATCTGTGCCTTTCAAATTCGGCCACAAAATTGTGCCAATTCCTCTTGGGTCCCTCCTTGTTCCCATCTACTCTCTAATTATTACTACCTCTTTTGTCGAATTTTGACTTTTTACCGTTAACATTAACAAATTTGACTTTTAAACACGGAGTAAATAAAATTTATATAAGATATTTATAAAGTATTAAATTTATTAGATTTTTCCAATAAAATATTTTTAAAATATATTTTATTTAATTAATTCTACCTCTTTTTGGAAGTGTTTAAATTGTTTAGACTTTTTGCAGTCATATTTAATAAATTTGACTATTAATTATATAAAGTTGATATTAGATATTGATTAAAAATAATTTTATTAAATTTATCTTGTAAAGTATGTTCAAAATATTATTTTTTCCAATTAGTATAAAATATAATTATTACTTTTTCCGGTTCTAAAAACCTTTCATGTTCTGATTTTTTTGATCAAACAGTTACACATTTTGACTACAAATAGTGAGAAAGATATACTTAATTATAATATAAAATCAATATAATATATTAAATTTTTATATCATTTACTTATTTAGATCATGTACATTATCAAAAAGTATAGTAATGTGTACAATGTACAGTGCCACATTACAACCACATTACCACAGTGTGAAGTTCTATTTCGGGAAAAAAATATGAAAGTCTTATTTTGATACCTTTCTCTATGTTTTAATCTTATTTAGGGTGATTTCTAATAACAAAATACATAATCTTACTATTTATAAACCTCACCAAAAGATTAAATAGAAATTAAAATACACAAATGAGTAGTTTATGTATTCAGTGACCCTTGTGTTTCTGGTTTTAGTATTTCTCTACTTCATATAAATGTTTGAGAAATATTGAAATAAAAAACACAAGCAGTGCCAGATCTAGGAAGTTAGACAACAAGGGAACCCTGTGGGGGTTCAGGGCGCGAAACGTTATAAAAGTAATGAATTTAATCTCAAAGAATCATTCAAATAATAAATAAAAGAATTTATAAAATAAAAAATTGATTTATGGACGGTACTATAAATTAGTTTAGTTATTACGAAGTACAGTATATTTTTAGTGTCTCACTTCATACCCGAGTATTTTGTTTTTGTAAATTTTAAACATTTCACTTTAACATTCTATTCTTTTAACTTAAAATAATTAACTTTTCTTATTTTTTATTAACACTATTAATTGAGGTCTCTAATATACTCCGTATATTTTTATTGGGATCCCCTATTATAGCTTTAAAAAAATTTAAAATATTAAAGTCTAACACAATGACACATATGAAAAACATTTAAAAGTAGTAGAGGGTCATGCCCCCACTAGTATGAAATGGATCCGCTCTCGAACAAATGACAAATTTGTGTATTTTGTAACTCTTGTATTTGTGATTTTAGCATTTCTCTAAACCATACTCACTCCGTCCTCATTTTGATTACAATTTTTTTTCTCTTCTTTTGATAACTTTTGATTGTTTACGCGATTTTATTAAGTATTTGATAAAATAAAATATTCTTGTGACCTCTTGTTTTGTAGAACTTTTGACGTAGTTTTTTAATATGTAAATTTTATTTCTAATTGATATACCGATTTATAAATAAATGATTTCAAAAAATGAGAAATTTTTTCTCGTAAACCCCAATTTATAATCAAATTGAGGAGGGAGGGAGCATTAATTTTCGAGAAAAACTAGTCACAAACGGAAGCACTGACATATAGTAGGGGACACCTGCAGGGGTGGGCAGTGCCCCCAAATCTTTTTTATACTCCTCCGTGCCTAAATATTACTCACATTTGCTTTTTCAGCAGTCGTAGGAACTTTTGTTTATTTCTACGTTTTCATTGGTTATTTGATAAAATAAAATATTCTTGACACCTTCTATTTCGAAGAACTTTTCATGTAGTTTTTTGATATGTAAATTTTATTTTTTATTTCTATATCAATATGTAAATAAAATGAATTGAAAAAACTTGATATTTTACCTCGGTAATAGAAATGTGAGATATATTAAAATATTATAAAATAATGAATTTAATCTCAAACAATGATTCAAATAGTAAATTAAATAAAAAGTTTCAAAAGTAAAAAAATTATTTATGGGTTGTATTAAAAACTAGTTTTGCTAATACGAAGTATATTATTAGTGTTTTACTTTAGATTTTATTTTTGTGATTTTTAAATATTTTACTTTAACATTCTATTCTTTTAGTATTTAAATAATTAAATTCTCTCATTTTTTGCGTAACAGTATCAATTGAGGTCTCTAATACCTTTAATTCCCTCTTATTTTTTAATGGGGTCCTAAATTATATAATTCTAAAAAAATTTAAAAAATTAAGGTCTAACGCATATGAAATATATTAAAAGTACTAGGGGTGCCATGCCCCCCAGCTAGTATGAAATGGACTCACCCTTTAAACACATAAGTCACAAAATACACAAACTTATTATTTGTGTATTTAAATTTTTATTTTTTAATTATTTAAAATTATTTTGTTTTCCTGTAGAGGTACACAAATAGTAAGACCATGTATTTTGTGATTTTTGTGTTTGTGACTCTATCATATTCATGGAGTATTATGTTAAGATTCAGATTGTGTTAGAGAGAAAAAAATGGACTTAAAGCAAACCTATGAGAGCTTGTCTCAAAGCCAACCCCAACAAGTTGGATCTCCAAAAGTTGAGATTAATAAACTTTTTTTCACAGAAAGAACATGACCTTGGCTTGGTTGCTTTGATGTGAGAAACTTTTGCTCAATAGATCTGAATTTTCATCAATTGGATAGAACATATTCTTTGATTAGTCTAAGGCCCCGTTTGGTACACGGAATTCAAACTGTGGAATTGGAATTGAAGTCTTCAATTCCAATTCAGGTGTTTGGTAGCACAAAAATTATGTGGATTTGGAATTGATAGTGCAAAAAATGAAGTGAAATTGGTGAATTCAATTCTATGGAATTGAATCTCATGGAATTTCAATTCCAATTCAATTCCAATTCCCTCAATTACGTATACCAAACGGACCCTAAGGGATTTCAAGCAACAAAGATGGTTTCTTCATCAGCTACAAGTATTGTTTACAAAAAGAATATGAAATCTGAACCCTGTTGAGAAATTCCATTTCAAGCATTGAAAAAATAAACTTTTTTCCATCAAACTTTACATTCGAGACAAAAAAGGCGGGGAGGATTTCTATTGGGTGAGGGGAACGCATTCGAGCTCGATCTCGAGCACACCCCTCTCAACATTCTGCAGCCTTATAGATATGTCTTGTTTCACCTTCCCCTCCACAAGCTTTATAATGCTGTCTTTTAACAACGTGTTCTCCTTGCTCGCCTCCCATTTCCCTAGGTCAGTGGCCTCGTCGAGCCCTCCTGATGATGATGATGAGCTCTCCGATGCCTTTGCAGCCACCACGAGTGGTTGGATGTCGATTTCGGCGTCCCCCATGAAATCGTCCGTCGTGAACGTGTCCTTGTCGTACACTAGCTGCATGTATATAAAGAAACTATCCCAAATAAGAATAAATCATAGCATTTATCCTCAAAATAGAATTTAGGATTTTGCACTGTGATATTATGACACTCTATAGTGGCATCCCACTATATTTTTTGGTACTATATATTGGCATTATTGACATTGTACTCCTATTTTGATACCTTTTCCATACTTTACTCCTAGTTTAGTCCTTTTCTCAGGTATATAAGCACCACCATTAGTATGGGTAAGGTCTAATTTTTTATCTGAGCCAAAAGTCTTTTGAAAACAGCCTCTCTACACACAATCTTCCCAGACCCTAGATTTTGCAGGATTTTACTGGGGTTGTTGTTAATGTTGTAACATTGAAAACTTTTAAGCGCGCGAAATGATTCTTACCACTTTTAGAGGAGGAATGTTGTCTGGGATTGACAGCATGAGCTTCTCATTCCACACCGGGTTTAGATTGTTTTTTATCACCCGTGTCTTCACCGACTGCACGAGAGAGAATTGTACTATTCAGTATTCAAATAATGAGAAGGATACTATATTATATACTTCGTATATAGGAACCAGTCTTAGTAGGCTTGGAAAGCTACCAAATAATAGAAATGGTCAGTTTACCTGAGTCCCCAACGACAGAATAACATAAGGGTCACTGGTTACTACATCCCGAACGGCGAGGTGGGTCCCACGGACAACATTGACAGAGACGAGCCCGATGAACTCGACCATACCCGCCTGTTGAAAATGGCAGCGCACGGTCAATCATGGCTTCCCAAAATGGCAACAAGTAGAATGAATGCTTGTATTATGCTTATGAATGAATGGTATATCCTTTTCTTATTACCATAGAGCTACTTTTCCTACTACTCTTCTGGTGGTGTTCAGATTCTTTCCTCCTCCGACTGTGGCGAAAAGCATGCTTGAATCCACTACCGTGGCTCTTATGACCACTCGGCGTCTTCTCAAAATGGAATTTCCTCTCTGGGGTTGCGCTGCTTGAATAATAGGCTATTGAATCACAGTAAGACGAAGCTGATGATGCAAAAGGGCATATCATCTCTATGTCGTAGTTCAAAAATTGTTGCAGCTCATATTTTCTCCTGACCATCCAAAAACGTGCAACGTCAAGTCCTATAGGACTATGGCTGGTTAATTAATCGATTAGATTTATAATCTTTTAGTAGTACCTTATAAAGTCAGTGCGTTCTTCATTGGACGAGTCTGGCCTTGGCTTTTTATAGTTATCTGGAAGGGCAGCTTCGTACTTCAAGTTTGCAATGGCGTTTCCGCCCATTTCCACAAGAGAATCAACTAACTCATCTGTCCATTCATCAAGGCTCACTGATAAAACCTGCAAAAATCATTCTTCATAAAATTTGGGTGTTTATTAATCTCACCAAACTAGCAGGTTCATGACTTAACCGGGGATATGACCTTAGATAAGAGCTTATGGAGGTCTTGGATTAGGGTCTTACAGCATGGTTTAGGTAGTGCTTTGCCCTTGTGTAGGACTTGCAGTCTTTTTTGTTATATCTATGAGTTTGTGTGTGTTTGCTTATTTTGTGCTCCCATTCTTTTAGTTCCAAGTAGGGACAAAGTCTACGTACACCCACCGTACTCAATCCGTAGACCCCACTCTGTTGAGATTTTTACTCAGGGGTTTTTGTTGTTCTTGTATAATAGCAACAGCATACATGTCTGGTTTCAAGAACTGCACCTTTGATATGTGGACCCCAAGGCTTCTATGTACACCGGAGCACTTGATACATATAGCCACGCCAAGACTCACCGACCTGAAAATCTAGGTGTCATTTTTTGTGTGTGTGACAAAAACAAGCACGAAATAGACACGCGAAGGGGTATCTGTGGGTGTTTCTTTGGGAACTTGGCATAAAAAAAGTCGCATAGCCTTAAAGTCAAATAACTCTCTCTCTCTCTCTCTCTATATTGCAATGAAAGACATACACCCATTTGGGATCTGGAGATCCACAATCTGCACAATATTTGTTTCCGGGCTCTTTCATCAAAGCCTGCAATCTAAGCCGGGGACCTGATAGAAAGGGGTAAAACCGAAACAGCAATGAAAAAAACTCAATCTTTACAAGAAAACAATATGTGGGTAAAGAGATTCAACACAAACATCCCAAACTTTGTAGGACATTAAACATAACTGAAAAGAGGTGATGTGATGGATGACATACTTAAAGAACGGTCGCGCATTTCTAGCTGACGGTGAAAACTTGGACTGACTTCCAACTGTAGAAGTTCATAGAGGCAGGAGCCTACATCAAACCAATAAACAGATGCTACATTTATGACATAAAAAAACAGTCTTTTTACTGTTATATCAACTTAAGTAACCAGAAAAGGAACAACCTTCATATGTGATACATACCAGGAAACAAGAACTTGTTAAAATTATGAAAAGCTGGCTATAGAAATACTAAGTGACACCAAGACTTGGAAAACTACCACAAATTTAAAGTCCATGAGACATTGAAAACATGGGCTCCAAAGAGACCAAGCGCTCAAGTTTTATCCCAATCCATTTTTTCTCTAGAAACGATTGTATCAATGCTGTCAACCCACGGGGGAAAAAATGAGTGGGTAACACTTTAGACATCATTTTGGGGGCACCATAGCATGACTATTTATTTTTATATGTGGAAGCGCTTCTGAGCATGTCGAGAAGCATGTTGACAAGGTTATGGTTTTCATTAAAATTTGATGTCCAAAAATGTTCATCTGTCCTCAATCCTCATCAAGATTTCATAGATACCATTAGCCAAACTCAACAAGAATATCATAACTCTTTAAAAGTAGAAATTGATTTTAACTTTACGAAAGTCTTCAATTCTCTAATTTGAATTTGTTTGGTTTTAACTTTACACTATGTTTGGTTCAAAGAATTTTGTAGGAAAAGAAAAGAAAACGGTTATACCTCATTTTCCTCACCAAAATGGGAGGGATCTGGTTTTTCCTCTTAGTACATTTTGCATTCTTATATTTTTCGTTTCTTTTTTCTCAAACGAAACATAAAAAAGTGTCTCCCTCTCATTTCCTTTTGTTTTCCATTTTAAATTCCTTGAACCAAGCATAGTGTTAGTGTTAAACTTTAGCCTTTAGCCTTAATCTACAGCATAAACACTCATCAAACCCCAATGCTCATTACACACATTCAATTATGCTAAAGCTTTCTTCAATTAGATCCTCTGCAAAACTTCTATGTGATTAAAACCCAAACATAACTCCAACAGAACAAGGACCCATTTCCAAGCCTACCTTTAAATCAAATGCCACTTTTTAATTGAATAAGAAAAGATGGATAAACCATCAAAGCCATTAAACTACCTGAGACATTTTTGCCATCTGCACTGCCCTGATGAATTGACATGTTTGACCTTCTGAATTCAAAGAACCCAGATCACGCAGCGTTACAATTCCTTTGAATTCATGCTCCTGATTCCGTCTTTTCGCTGCATTACCCCCAACGAATAAATCAAAATTAAAGAAAACTAAAAAAAATGAAGAAAATAAAAATGATAAAGACAGGAACTTTACATTGTTACCAATGGAGGACGAAATGGAGATGGAGAATTGGAATATAATTGTAAAGATAATATATCAGAAACTATACAAGTATACAATATTTCCTAATATATTACTCCGTATCTAACAATATAAATGTAATGTATGTACATATATGCATATATGTGCATATACGCATGTTATTCATCTCTGAAAATTGAAGGAAGAAATAATATATTGCAAGGATTAACAAAACAAAAATTGGGACTTTTGTTCCAGCTGAGTGTGGGATATGATGATCAATGGATGTTTTTTGTTTTTAAGATTTGGGGAAAACAAGGAAGAAACAAAAGCCCGAAAAGGATTGGGACGATGATGTTCTTCCGGGGTTAGGTAGTTGCCCAATAATTACCAGACAATACCTCGTCCCTGTTTTTCTATTTCTAAATTTTGCTCTGTTTTTCTCATCTTTCTTGATGTGTTCCCTTGCGTTAAAATCATACGGAATAAAAACTAGCTTTCAGAGGTTTTTTTTTGGAGTTATTAACTTGGGGATAAAGTGATTTCCACAAAAGCTGAAAGCAAAAGCACCACATATCTGCTTCTCCGAAACGGTGTTCTATATACAAAATAGTGGTGGTGAAAAGCAGAAACTGACATGCCAAACAGAGTAAAATCACTTCCACTCAAATTAAAAACTAAATTATTAAAAGCAGCGCACTGCCAAACACTCTCTTAGCCTTGTATACCACGAGCTTAACAACAATAAAAAACTATTTTTGATAAGGGGGAATTTACCTAAATGATACTAAAATATGATGATTTTCTCTAAATAGCATTAGACATGATTTTTTTCTCAATATAACACTTTTAGTCATTATTTAAATAAATGTTCACCATCACTGTATACCTTCTGGACATTATTAAGTACTATTTAAGAAATAAAATAGTTTTAGTGCTATTTAGAAAAATGACTTAAATTTTAATGCTATTTAGTGAAAAATATTTCTTTGTGATAAAACCTTAAGGCCATGTTCTCTTGATGTGATTTTTATGATTCTGATCTGATTGAAATAAATTCTGATTTAGTCTGATCTGATTTTAATGTAATTATATGTAAAGATATATCTGATCTGATTCCAAAAAGACAAAGTAATACTTCCTCCGTTCTATAAAAGTGGTAAATTGTAGTTGACTTTGTATAAAAATAAGGAAGTGGTAAATTGTAGTTGACTTTCAATTTTGCCCTTGATGTGATGAATAAAAGTAAGATGTGATGGATTGAGTATTAGAGAAAAAGTATGATGTGATAGGTATGGTATGAAAAAAAGTAAGGGTAAAAGTGGGTTTTTAATAGAAAGTGAAAATGTTTTGTTGAAAGTAAAAAAAATGAAAAAAGAAGAGTTTTTGAGAACGAAGGAAGTAAGTAATATGGATAAGTTGAAGAGAACATGTCTAAAATCTACATCGTCCAAGTCCGGTGTAGATAAAATGGGTCCCATTCGATCTACTTTTTTGGCTGAAACGAAACTTGAACAACCATTTTTGGTAAAATGTGTATTGTTGCCCCTATAGTTTCAAAACTTGCACCTTTATTCTTTGTACTTCTCATATTTTTGTGCCAATGCTCATCTATATTAACATATTTTTCAAAGATTAAATAAATTGCTCCCATGCCCTCTATGATTTTGGGAACTGACACCAACACCCCTTCCCCTTCTTTCTTTATTGTGTTTTGCTTTTTTCTTCTCTTTTTTCATAAACAAAAGAAAAATATTTGTCTTTGAAATGATGAAAAAATTCAAAAATATTTTTTTAAAATCTTTTTTAAAAAAATTATATGTGTTTCATTCGTCTCAAATTAATTTTTTTATTGTTTGTATGAAAAAATTTCTTATTTTTTTGAATATTTTGAAACCAAAAAATACAAAGGAAGTTCTTTTTTACCTTTAACTAATTATATATTCATAACATTTTTTGACTGATGCACAACATATTTCTTTCATGAATTAATTTTTCTTATTCTATAAAATTAATTAGTTTGTCACGTGCTTTTCTTTTTCTTCATTTTCTTTTCTATTCTTCTTTTCTTTTATTTTATTTTTGATTAAAATAAAAGAAACATTGTAAAATAAAATTTTTTTAAAAAATAAAAAAGAGAAATAAAAGAAACTAGAAAATGAACAGAAAATGGGAAATGAGCTTCAGTGAAAAAAGAGAAAATATTTTATGGATTTTTGTATAATGATAAATGAACCAATAAGGACCTATTTTGGATGAAAATGAAAATGATTAATTTGATACAAATGAAGTGTGTGTTAATTCTTTTTATTTAACTAATTTTTACTTCAAACACAATTTTTTTATTAAAACTTTATAAAAAATAGTTTTAAAGAAGAACTAAAAAAATTTATGAAAAAAGAGAAAAAAAAGAAAACAAAAAGGAAAAGAGAGGGGGCGTTGGTGTCCATTTCCAAAACCATAGAGGGAAGCCGAGATATTTAGCTATGATTTGAAGGCATTTTAGACTAGAGAGGCATTGGTGATATGCACATACACTTTTTAGGCATATTTTGAAGTAGTTTTAAGTTGCAATTGAATTTCATATTTACATTTTAATTTAACTTTCCGTTTTATTTTTGTAGTGTGGTCCTATGCTTGGTTTTATATGTTTTGTAGGTATTTTGATGTCATTATAACGCAATGAGGGTAATTGCAAGAACGGAAAATAAGCATGGAGATTTGGAACGAAAATAAAGGGAAGAGATTTGAAGAAAAGAAGGAAATAAATATAAATAAATAAAAATAAATGGAAAAAATGACAAAACAACGCCACAACACACTATTCAGGGTATTACTGAGTTGTCTGAGTGATACGCGGTATGTTCTTTTTACAATTCGGCCCATGAATTGAGAAAGAAAATTGACAAAACAGCGATTAGTGGGGGAGCTTCAAAAAATAGAAATATAAATTGAAAAATAGTGTAATAATAATAGTTATTATAATAATACTAACAATAATAATAATAATAATAATAATAATCGAAAAGTGGGTAAGCTTCGAAAAATAGAAATATAAATCGTAAATATATAAATATAATTGGAAAAATATAAATAATAAAATTGAAAAAATTATAAATTATAGTAATGAATATAAAAACAACAACAATACAGTGTAATAATAATAGTAATTATAATAATACTAACAAGAATAATAATAATCGTAGATAAAAAACATCATTTAATACAATTTTCTTAATATAAGTGGAGTTGTACATACGTCAATTCACCAATTTACTACAACCATTTTTTAAATACATAACTTAAACTAAACATATGAATTAATTAAAAAATAAACAATCCAATGAAAAAGTTATTTAAAATATTAGAGACCAAAATAAATTTAGTTTTTAATCAGAGTATACTATAACCATGTAATTTTTTATAAGACTAAAATTTACTCCCTCTTTTACAATATATTTGTCCAATTTGACCCTTTCAAGTCCAATACAATGAACTTTGAACTTCAATTAAACAAAATTTGTAATGTATACTAATATGAAAATGATTTTATTAGATTTTTCTTGTTGAGAACTTTCAAAATTTTAGTTTGTTATACTTATATGCAATACAAGTTGAAAGTAATTGAAACTCAAAGTTTGTCCAATTTGACTCGATATAGTCAAATTAGACAAATATAATGAAACAAAGGAATAGCTTTTTAAGGGACGAAATGAGGTTTAGAATGGATGTTTAATAAATGTATGTTATGTTTTTGAATCTAGGTTGTAATTATTAATTACTCCGTAAATGCAAAGAGGCATATAAAGAAATTTACGGCGATAAAAATTCAATGCAGAGTTTTTTGAGGTGAAGTGAACATTCCGAAGACTTTTATTTTTTATTGAGGCTAGGAACTTTTGCAAGGATGACAATCATTTTTGCATAAACAAATTAATTTTTTGAGGGACAAATTATTATTTTCTAATTCACTTGAAAAATCAATTTTTCTTTGTCTAAAAATAATTTACTGATTCAGTTTTAAAATAGTGTGTCAAAATTTCTTTAAATACCTCTTAAAGATACACAAATTTTTTGTAGTAAGAAAAATATATTTTAAATATTTTTCGTGTACATCGTTTGATACACAAAATATTTTTGGGACTAAATCTCTACACCAAAAATCACTCCATAATTAAAAAATTGATATTGAATTATTCTTGTTTGATTGTGGAGCCTCCTTATCTTGCTCCTTTGTCCTAAACAATCCCTAAACTCCAATTTGTACTCTCTTCTCGCACACATGCCTTGGGTCCTTCTTGTTTGGCCATAATTCGTCAGAGGATCGATCCTCTTCAGTGGATCGATCATAGTGTGCAGAGCATTCCGTAAGAGGATTGATCCATTTGTCTGGATCGATAATCATATTTCGAGATTTTGTTCGAAGGATCGATCCAGGGGGTTGGATCAATCCCCTATGGTTTTGACTGAAATCCTTTACCAATTTTTTAACTCTTGGTGATTAATCATATGCCTTGGATCGATCACCTGTGGTAAAATCTGTCAAAAACACTTCATCCCTACCTCCAACGGATTTATTTCTTTCAACCCTATAAATCCATCATCCTTCTTCATCAAACACGGAATTCTTGCACTCATATCATCCATTCGTTCATATCCAACTCTGTGCTTCATTTTCCTCATTCAAATATATTATTTTGAGAGTTAAGAATATTTTTACTGAGTGCTAAAAGAAATTGTCATCCATAGAGCTTTCATATTTCAACCACTATATGCTCAATTGTGTGAGCTTTCATTCTTGTGTTGTAAACTCAATCTTGTTTGAGTTGTTGCTAAGACTTGTGTGATTCAAGTCTTGTTGGTTGTTGTTAAGACTTGTGTGAATCAAGTTTTATTGTAAGAAGTTGAGCCTTGTGTGATTCAAGTTCTCGAGTTGTATCGGGTTTTCAAGAACCCGTTGAAGCTTGATGATTAGTAGGATCTTTGAGAGAGTCTCTCGGAGGACTGAACTAGACACGAAGTGGTGAACAAGTGTAAATCATGGTGTATTTCTTCCCTTTCTCTTTACATTATTCATGCGATTTTTATTCCGTTATCACACACGCGGAAAACGCACATTCTAGTAAACAATTATATTCATCCACCTCCCTCTTCTAGATCAGAGTTGCACGTTTGTCTAACAATAAGGATCTAAAGCAGCTGGAAGTGAAGACAAAGGTTAGGTGGGATGACATGGTACAAATCAAGGGTAAAGTGTTAAAGATTGTCATTTCATTGAATTTTATTGTTATGGGATGACATTGGCTCTGATCGAGACATTTGTGGTGTTTGATTCATAAAATTAATGATTTTTGTCTTTCATAATCCCCGGTTAACCTATCAACTTCGGCCCAAGCCAAACCCACTCACCTCCTTTAATTGCACTTCCAAAATTTAGTTCGGGTGAGGCTGGTGAAGAGATTTACCAAAGAGTTGGCGGATATAAATCATTAAATTTATGAATAAAAGACTACGGATGTCTCAATCAAAGTTAATGTCATATTGTCTTCCCATGACATTTAAAAGCCAATGTCGCCGTTATCTTGCCCAAAATGGTAAATGGGTTGTGCATTTTACTACTCATGCCCATTTCATCTTAAATTAATCTTCTTGTTTTTTCCATATAATTTAAGAAAAAAATAAATTGTTTAGTTGAGATTCTTGGAGAAAAATTAATATTTACATTTATTTCATTACTTTGAAGGAATGAAAAATATTTTTGGTACAACAAAAAAAGGATTTTAATTTGAAACCAAAAAGGAATTTTTAAAGTCTATAAGCTTTCAAAAGAGAGAAAAAAAGTCCTAGCAATGTCCACTCTACAGCAGGAAACAACATTTTTGCCAATTGTCATCCACAAAGCCATATTTTGGTTGTTCAGTTCAACCGGTTTGTTGTTCCGTTTCCTACTCCACCGATTTTAGGAACATATTTCTTTATTAATAAAATTTCAAGCCGATTGAAAAAGATTGTTGAACTCAAGTCAACCGGAAATGTTGGTCTTATGCATTTTCCAAATGCAACATATTGTTCCTAACCTTTTTATTTTATTGAATTATCAAATAATCAAAAATCATTGGAACAATATGCTGCATTTGGCAAGAAAAGGATATTTATTTTATTACTCCGTATTTGGAATTCAAAAGAAATTTTGACATAGAATTGATTTTTTTTTATTAATTTAAAGTAGTTTTGAACCCCTAAATTTACCTTAGTTTAACATATGCATATAATATTGTGTCATGGCCGCAATTTTGACAAGAGCTATGTGGCTACGGTACGCTCTAGGAAACCCTCTATCAAAATATCGTCTTCACTCTGATAATGAATCTACTATTTGTATGACTAAAAATCTAGTTCTGCATGACCGTAATAAGAAGCATGTTGGTTCATACTGTTATTTTGTGTGAGATGAAGTCATGACATGCATTATGCATGCCCATCATGTTTCATCCTCTGAGAAGTTAGCAATTATCCATACAAATCGCTTCCGCCAGCTCCTTTTGGGTACATATGTTTCAAGCTGTCCCTCGTCTCTGTTGATCAGCTTGCGGGGATGATACGAAGCAAATATTATTTATTATCTTCCTTAATTTATTGTTTCCTTATCCGGTGGGGTTCCCATGATATTGGAACCCCATGTCATGGGATGACCCGGTGGCGCTCCGGTGCCTTGTTTGTAAAATTGACGATTCTTCCTCCTCGGTAAACCCCCACCCCGTCCTGACCCGAACACACCCCCCAGCCCATTGAATTGCACCTCACAAGTTAATTTTGACTTTGGAGTCAAAATTTTACCAGAGGAGTTAGGGGTGGTAAGAATCGGAGTGGAGTGTTAGGGGTGGTAATTTTACCGGACGGTTACCGAAGGGGTTAAGGGTGGTAAGAACCGTTAATTTTACGAACGTGGCACCAGAGCACACCCGAGTCATCTCATGACATTGTTGGGCAATGTCATTAGAACCGTCTCGTTCCTTAATATATTATTATCATACTTCCTATTCTATTATTATTAGTATAGGTTAAGAAAGTGAATAAGATTCAACCACGTAATTTATGCACATACCATATAGTTAGGTAAAGTGGGAGTATTATAGTTATTTTTTATTTAAAATATTGATGTTTTTCCTAGATCAATTTAGATTTCTAAAATATCTCTAATTTTTAAAACATAATTTAGTATCATGTAAATTCAGACTTGCCCAATGGAGAGTTCAAGAGTTCAGGATGCTCTTTTGCACAGAGCCTCCAAATTTAAGGGGCCCAGTTTGTTTATATATATATATATATATATATATATATATATATCGTACCGAGTATATCTCAGCCCAATATATTTTCAAAAATCAATGCTTTATCAATTTATGGAGTAGATAGATACTTTTTTTTACTGTGATTCTCGATTCTTCCTTCGGTCTTCAGCGGCATCCCATCTCTTCTTTTTTTACTGTGATTTTCAAACTTGATTCTTCAATGTTCAATTCATTTTAATGTCGTTAACGTTTCATTCCTAAGCCGTTGAAAGGTTTGATTTTTTTTGCATTGTTTTTTTAGAGCTAATGGTGTTCATTTTGTTACTTAAAAATTAGATCAGTTAATATATTTTTCAGTTCTAAAAAATGATTTTGTATAATTAAATTATTAATTTTAATTTTTAGTTTTTTCTCTAGAAGTGAATTGACTTTTTTGGAACTTCAATTCATTCTTAAAAAATTGTTTCGTTTATTACGACTATTTTAGTTTTAATATTCTGATTTATAAACTGATTTTTAAATCACAAGTAAATCATTTCTTGTAGAAAAAAATTGTTTCTTATTCTGCTTCTTCAATTTTAAAATTCCATTCTTTTAACAGATAAACTTATCTTGGGCTACTCTACCTTTTTTTTCAAAATTAATTAAGACCGTAGCCTAATTGAAACTTTTGAGTCATTCTCTTTTGGAAAAAATTGAAATTAATTATATTATGTTTAATGAAAAAACTAATATTAGGGAGTAGTACTTTTGCTTTATCAAAATATCTAGTTTTAATATAAAATTTGGGAGGAAAAATGGTAATGAGTGTGAATCACAAAAATAGTGTGTTGGAAAAAATAAATTTTAAAGTCTACTTTTATTTCCTGAACAAAATAGAAAAAAACGATCTTTGCAAATGTTGGCATACATTCTAAACTTTTGACATTAGGTAAATACAATCCTGTTTATTTTAAACTTTTAATAATGGTATAATATGTGTTATACGGAGTATATAAAATATTTTACTCATAATTTTTTACACAAAAATCCAAATTTAACAAACTATATAACGTTAATCATCTTTTTGCGAGATCTACCCAACTACGTTATTTGAAAATAATAAGATTGACTTTATAACTAGTCCACCGTTCTACAGCGTGCTTTCGCCAATCTCCAGCAATTTCATTTTCTCCAACGTTCTGTTAGAGTGTCATCTCACATCGGAAGTTTAAGAGTAAAACAATCAGTATATAAGCTCTTGATTTGAATTAATTAATTGATTAGATTCAATCTTTTAATGCGGTTCAACCCAAGTGTCTTATTGCCCAATTCAGTAAAATCTACGCAATCTTAAATTCTATCATGGTATCAAAGCAGGTTTTGGCCCACCTCGTTTGTCAAGGTGTCCGTATAGACGGTCATTCCTAGCGGCCCGTTATTCTTTAGCCCAGTTGTCCGTATGAAGTATGTATCCAACGGCCTGTGGCCTGTTTAACACAATTGCTCGTCTGGAAGTCCATACCCAGCAACTCGTGGTCCTTTAGGTATTGGTGCTCAAAAAAATTCAATGGAATGAGACTTTATTTGCAAGTGGTCAACTGGTTAGATTCAAAATGGTCTGGTTGTCCACTTGAGGGGGAGTGTTAGAGTGTCATCCCACATCGGAAGTTCAAGAGCAAAATAATAAGTATATAAGCTCTTGAGTTGAACTAATTAATCGATTGGATTCAATGTTTTAATGTGGTTCAACCCAATTGTCTTATTGCCCAATCCAGTTGTCCATACCCATTCTAAATTAATCACGTTTTATTGCCAATCTCCATCCAAACGCTCCAACTGGAAGAATTCAACAAGGGAAAAAAATACTCGCTATTAATGGAAGAGAATCAACACACAAAAGAGGGGGGATCGTACGGGGTGTAACCGAGCAGCGGCGCAATTAAGGCGGCGACAGGCAAGGCTACTCACGCGACCGGCGGACGTGAACTAGGAACTCCCGTTCTTCAATTTCATCACCTTCTTCTTCCAATGGTAACCTCAGTTTTTTTATCACTTCAATTTGTTTTCCAATTTCTTTGTAAAAGTGTTATTTTTAATTCAATTTTACACTTTTGTTTGCTTGTTTATTAAATTTGAATGTTCTAAAAATATATGGTTGGTGTTCTTTTGGTGTTTATTCTTCTTTAAATATTTATATTAAATCCCTTATGAATGAAAATTGATTTATACTAATTTTCTTCAATTATTGAGCAAATTATTGTTGAATTAGTTGAATTACGTGTTTGATTTCATAAGTAGGTTGGTATGTAAAATTCAATTTTTGTTGAAGTTATTTTAGCTCCATATTATAATTAAATAAACTTCACATTCATAAGTGCTTTATTGTGATTTGTGTTTGTTTATTTTAAGGTTTATGAACTTCTTAGCCCCATAAGTTGGAAACTTTTCTTAGAATTCGTTATTGTGTGATTGTTATTTCTTTGTATGCTTGTTTGTTATTTTCATTAAGTTGTGCTTATTTAATCTCAAAAACCATTCTCAATTGATTGAAAATATGTTGTATTCATTTATGTGAATAGAAAAACATCATTGGTTTTAAAAAGTTCATGGAAATATGTGAAATGTGCTCATCATTAGGAGTTAAAACTTATTAAAATACATAATTTGTTGGAGGATTTGTGAATAGATTATGTATGAGAGTTAAATGTATAATAAATTCTCACTTTTATAAAATTTTTCGATAGTGGAAGTATGTTTTCATGTTTGAATAAAGAGTTGGGGTTGAAAAGTATACTTCAAAACGGGCCTTTAAATTGCATGACTCCGGGCTGTGTAGAGAGTTGACAATATATCCTCCATGTCGTGGTTAAGAAAATGAATAGACTCGGCCTTTGATTGAATTTTCTTATTCTTAAGTGTGTAAGTTAAGCAAGATTTTATCTACATGTCTATTTTATGTTTAATGTTTGGCTTATGTGGTTGTTCTCTTTTTGTTTTGTTTTGAGTTCTTGGTGGTGTTCATGGGTTACCTAGGTTGATTAATGTGATCATATCTTTTTGAGCTTGTTCTCCCACTTTATTATAAAAATAAAAAATAAGAAAAATATAAAAAAACCAAACAATATTTACTTTCTACCCCCCTTTGTGTTGTGTTTAAGTTATAGTTTAGGTTCTTTTGTTCAGTTTATATTATAAGTGTTTGTTTATAAGTTTTTATATATATATATATATATAGTTTATACGTAATCTTATATATTTAGTATAGTATGTATGATGTGTTTTTAAGTTAATTATAAGTTTTTATATTTATTTAATACGGAGTAATAAGTTTTATAAGCTAAGCCTTTGTAATATGTGTGGTAGTTAGTTTTTGAGTAAATTCCATAATTGGTCCTTTATAACAGGGGGGTTTCCCTGTTTAGTCCTCTATTATCAGATATTACACCAGTGGTCCTTCTTTTATGTGTAGTTTTCCACAAATAGTCCTTTTTTTGATCTTCTATCATGTTGGGATTAATTTGAGGGCTAACAGTGTAATTTCGCAATGATAATATATATTTTTTTGTCATACACAATTCCAAAGGGTATTCCGTTTCCATCGTTTGTGAATTACAGTCGCTTTCTACTACAACCATAGTCTACAAATGTGGTCTTTCGTCGGAATCCTAGCCCACAATCATAGTCATTATTTTTATGTTATCCGCTTAACCAATATCAGAATATGTCACTAAACATAATGTTGACGTCAAATTATACTTTTAGCCTTTAAATTAATATCAACATGCCAGAAGATCAAAAAAGGACCATTTGTGGAAAGGCACCCTTAAAAAAGGACTACGGGGGTAATATTTGATAATAGAGGACTAAATATGGAAACCCCCCTGTTATAAAGGACCAATTATAGAATTTACTCTTAGTTTTTTTTGTTTTTTGGGGGAAATGTGTTTGCATGCTAAATTGATTTTGAAGAGCACAAACTTTTTCTATGAGATCAATTTTACTTGTTCTAGCTATAGTTTCTTTTATTATATCATGGGATTAGCTAAGGATTATTTATAAATTTTTAATTTATTTTGTATCGCACGACAGGTCTTTCCTGGGTACCAGATTGGAAGAGTGCCCAGTTCCTTGTTAGTTCTCCAGAGTATTATATTCTATCTTAGCTTACACTTGTCTACTTCAAATATCATTTGAAACTTTGCAGGTTTAACGTACTGAATACTTATTTGAGCAATGCTAGGGGTACACCTTTACACCAAAGGTGTACCCCATTTGTCCCCCACCCCCTTTTACACCACCCATTTTTATCTACTTTTTATTTATTTAATTTTTTTTAAAAAATTCTTGCCCATTTTTGTGGTAATGGAGGGGGTGGGGGACAAATGGGGTACACCAAGGTGTACCCCTAGCATTTTTCTACTTAATTTCCTGGTAATATTCTAATTCACGTTTCAAAGGATATTCTTATTGCTCTTTAAGGTCCCGTTTGGTATATGGAATTCAAACTATGGAATTGGAATTGGAGATTTCAATTCCAATTCTGGTGTTTGGTAGCACAAAAATTACGTGGATTTGGAATTGATAATGCAAAAAATGAATTGAAATTGACAGAATTCAATTCTATGGAATTGAATCCCATGAAAGTTCAATTCCAATTCAATTCCAATTCCACCAATTTCTTATATCAAACGGACCCTAACATTTTTTGAAATTTCTTTGTCACGAATGGATCTAAAAGCTCCAACAAAAATGTTCAGGAAATCGCTAGAATTGGAATTGAAGTTCTCAATTCCTATTCCGTAGTTTGAATTCCGTGTACCAAACGGAGCCTAAGATTATTTCGAGAGCTTCCATTTTTATTATATCAACGGTAGTGAATTCAGGAAAAAAATATGACTAGAGCAAACACACATTAAAGAATATGGTGGGGGGTTCAGGGATAGCGCTTCCAATTTTTTAAAGCATTTGATAATGATAAAAAGTAAATAAATTTAAGTTCAAACAAGCATTCAAATAAGAAAAAGTAACTCTCTACTTCCATCATTTCTTTTTCTTTTTTTTTAAAATTAGTCTAACTTTGGATAAGAATTAAAAATATTTAAAAAATAACGAAAATGAGAGAATTTAAAAAAAACCACACAAAATTAATGAAATAAATAAGGTAATTAATCGAAATTAACATGAAACACTGTCAAAAAAATACGAAACTAGTAAGAAATGAAAAATACGTAGAGGTGGGTTTGATTTTAACATTTTACACATTATACAGTGCATTAATATGTCACTTCTTATTTTTAGAAAAATTATCTACTATAATCCCAATTTAATCTGTTCTTTCAAAAAATAAAAGTAGTACATTAATACTCTGTATAGTGCGTAAAATGTTTGAACCCTTTACTCCCTATATTTTTATTTTCTTTCATACCACTTTTAGTTTAATTTCTATTGATTGTCGTATTTATTTCTTTAATCTTGTATGGTTTCAGTTATTTTTCTCATTTTCCTAATTTTTATATCTATTTCTCTATTTCTTTATTTTTTTTACAAGGTAGGACTAACCTTTTAAAAAAGAAAAAGAAATGGAGGTAGAAAGTCATTTTAAAAATTTTAATGAAAATTTCAAAAAATAAAAAATGAAAAGTCATCAAAAATAATCTCAACTTTCATTTTGTTGTGCAAAATAGGTCGTTTTCGTTAACCGCGGCCTTAGCAACTTACTGGCGACCAAAGACTTACAAATTTTAGTAAAGTTGAGGCGAGCTTCATCTCTGAGGGTCCTCTCAGAAGCGGCCGAACAGTCACTGAAAAAATGTAAATTGAATTTTGATCGCATATTGATGACAAAGAGTAAAACATGCCGCTAGTATTTGCAGAGACCCTATACTTAGCATAATTGTAGTTGTCAAAATTAAATTCAAGTCTTATCTTCTTAGTTGTCTTGTCGACTAGGCGGTCGAACAGTCACTGAAAGAAGATAAATTGAATTTTGATCGCATATTGATGACAAAGAGTAAAACATGCACTTAGTATTTGCAGAGGTCATATACTTAACATAATTATAGTTGTCAAAATTAAATTCAGGTCTTATCTCCTTAGTCCTCCTTGCCTTGCCGACTACGCAACGTCCACCGACATTCTTTGGGGTGAAAAGATAAGACAAAAATGATAGGGGTACACCAATTTTTGTATTCCATTTTACCCCCTCCATCTCCATCACACAAAAAACAAGAAAAAAAAATATTAAAATTATAAAAGGAAATCTATAGCTATGATTGTTGGTGTACAAATGGGGTACGTAGTCCTACCATTCCTCAAGATAAGAAGGGAGGCGAATGAATGTGTCGTTGCACATAGGATTGAGTTCCATGTGTCGTTGGACAGGTAATAATGTGATGTATTTTTTCACCAGATGGGACCCACTAAGCATCGGTTTCCACTTCTCCCTCACACATGTCCACGTTATATATGCATTCCACCTTTTTCACTTTTGTCGCCACTACCCAAAATACCCTCTATTTTAATGACATCAAAATTCCTCCAAATGTACACTTAGGGCCTGTTTGGGAATAACGTTAGAGATTAGCGTTAGCGTTTTGGATAAAATTTTAACTGTGCAGATCGCTTTGAAAACGCTAAAGCTAAACGCTGCCCGTAGATAGTTTTTTCAAAACGCTAATGCTAATCGCTAACGCTGTTCCCAAACAGGCACTTAAGCAATGCTAGGAGTACATCAAAGGTATACCCCATTTGTACCTCACCTCCTTCTCCATCACTCATTTTTATCTACTTTTTATTTATTTAATTTTTTTTAAAATTCTTGTCCATTTATGTGGTGGAAGAGGGGGTGGGAGACAAACGGAGTACCCTGCCATTTTTCTATACACTTATACGTTACATTTCTCCACCTAAAACTTGTGACCCACCCCCACCCCACCTATATATACACACCATTTCACATCTAAGCAAAAAAACCTGCAAAAAAAAAAAGAAAAGAAAATCTCACTTCCATTATTGCTGTTTCTCTCATCCGCCATGGCCACCCTCATTTTCCCAGCCCAACCTTCCCCAGTTGCTGACGCTGAAGCTCTCAAGAATGCCTGCAAAGGTTTAATCTTGACCAAAATTTCTTTCTTTTTTTGTAAATCCCAATTTAATGTTACATTCAAGAAACAATGTTCAGTCAAATTGGACTCATAAAGTTGGGATGCAGTGATAATAACCATACAAATAACAAATTTATGTCATTTAATTCATACCCTCCATGTTTTTTTTAGGTATTTGTTAAGGAATGCTAGATGTTTTCCTGCTTTTTTCTGGGTAAATTATGTTTCTTGAACTGAAAGAAATGGATAATGTGTTTAGGATGGGGCACGAACGAGAAGGCGATTATCGAAATCATAGGACACAGGAATTGGGTGCAGAGGAAACAGATCAGGAAAGCATTCGAGGATCAATACCAGGAAGATCTGGTTAAATGCCTTGAGAAGGAGCTCACAGGCCACTTAGAGGTAATTATTTAATTAATTACTGAAAATTTTAATTTTTTCCAGAATGGGATTTGATTTCTTTGTTTCCTGGCTTACACTAATTTAATTCTGGGTTTTGCTCAAAAAAAAAAACAGAAAGCTGTGTACAGATGGATGCTTGATCCAGAGGACAGGGATGCAGTGCTGCTACATGTGGCAATAAAAGAAGGGTCAGTCCCCGATTATCGCGTCATCATCGAACAGTCCTGCATCTACTCCCCGGAGGAGTTTCTCGCTGTCAAGCGGGCCTATCAGGCCCGCTATAAGCTGTCTTTTGAAGAGGATCTGGCCCAGCATTCCTCTGCAGAGTTCCGCAGGCTTCTGGTTCCTCTTGCGGGCGTGTACAGGTATGCTGGGAACGAGATCGACGTGAAATTGGCGCATGCCGAGGCCCAGATGCTTCACAATGCCATCAAGAAAAAGGAGTTCAATCACGAAGAGATTGTCCGGATTCTGAGCACCAGGAGCAAGGCTCAGCTCGTTGCCACTTTCAATCGCTATAAAGACGAGCATGGTTGCTCAATCACCAAGGTATATCCATATAAATCTGCATTAGTATGATATTGTTCGCTTTAAGTAAATCCAAGTTTGTTTTTGGGCAATTCTCAAAAGGTCTCATATATAACTGGTTGGTTTTTGCCTTAAATATGTAGCATTTGAAGGAAGATTCGGCGAGCAAGTACCAGAACGCGCTGCGTGCCACCATCCGTTGCGTGACTGAACCCCAGAAGTACTATGAGAAGGTGACTATTAGTTAAGAGTCATAAGATGTTACGATGAACTCGATAATCGATTGGATTCAGTCTTTTTTAGGACATGGTAGATAAGGGTCACTGGACTGCGCCATAGTACACTTGGGCTGAAACTAGAGTAAAAGATGAAATTCAATCGATTACTAGTTCAACTCAAGAGTTTATAAACCCGTCATTTTCTCTTTCATTTTTCCGATGCGGGATACTCTAACAGGAATGAATGTTATATATATATATATATAGGTGGTGCGACAAGCGTTGAGCAAATCGGGGAGTGACGAGGATGCGCTGACTCGGGTGATAGTGACGAGGGCGGAGAAGGATCTGAGGGAGATAAAGGAGCTGTATCACAAGAGGAACAGTGTGAGTCTGGAGCAGGCTGTGGCCAAGGAGACTTCTGGGCACTATGAGGCTTTTCTCCTGGCTCTCCTGGGAAAGCAAGACTGAGACTGAGAGAGAGATCATAAGCTTTTATAATGAGTGAATGTTTGTGTTGTTTCATTAAGAGTCTGAATGTTTGTTTGAACTTTGAAGGTGTCCTAAAACTGTTCTTCTTTCCTTTGTCTTTGTGTGTCATGTCTTGAACCTTGAGGTTGTTTTAATTTCCTTGTGTTTGTTTTAATGTAATGAGTCCAGTGTGGTTGCATCAGTTATGGAACTTTGTTTATTTCTGTTTTTTACAGTGCCCAGCCCATTTGTTTTTTTTTTGGCATTTTTACATTATAATTTTTTAATGGACTAAATAAAATTTATTTTTGATGCAATCTATTATCATAGAGACATCCATATTAAAATGTGAATGAATGAACATTCAAGTGCATAAATTTGAAAATGAACAGAACAATGTTTAATTTAAGTCCTTTTTTTAAGATTAGGATATGCAACATTTTTGGTAGCAATGCAAATGCTTCCATTTTTTGATCTTGCATTTGCTTTCTTTCGTGAAAACATCATCATAAAATTGATCGTAAATGAAAAATAGTCTGGTTAAAAGTAACCCAATACATGACAATATTTGATATTGACTTATACCGGGTGAAGTAATGAATTCTTTATTTGCATTAAAATTTAGATTTGTGTAAAATTTTGCAAAAATTTTGAGACTACTCTAGATATATTCCATACTTGAATCGGTTTATACAAAAATTTATCGCTATTAAAATTTTATCATTTCAATCTCCATAGAAATAGAATTCATAATATTTTCTTTTGACCTTCTAACACGTGAGATATTTGCATTTTTTTAAATTAAAATAGACATAAGTTTTGTACCGAATATGCTTTTGAGTTTTTTGAAGGAGTGAGTTTACTTCTTTGAGGTTTAAATCTTTTCTTTTAATTCAACTGTAATTAAAACTATCATTTATATAATTTCATATCTTTAAGACTTTAAATTAATTGCGTTTAATGTACATAATTTACTTAGATTTACATTATGCAATTTTGAAATCGAACTTTTTGTCCTAACCGGTTACTCCTCAATTGAGATTTAAGCTTTTCATTTGAACTTTTAGAATCTATAACGTAACACTTTGACCACTAATATTGATATTTATACATACATACATACATACATACACACACATATATATATATACATATACATATATATATATATCATAATATTTAATTTTAAATTTTTCAAAACTATGTTTAAAAAAACTATTGATATTGCAATTATATCGAAACCAGCCAATGTATATTTTCTGCATATCAAAGTCAAAGTTTGCAAATTTTGACTAAGAAAAGTCAAATATAATAATTAAATTCAGAACAAAAGAATATTAAATTAGACGTAAGAAAATTTTTATCATTTTGAGAGCAATGGTTATCTACATATTATCAAGATGTTGAGAATTTAAATATGTACTTGAACACCATCTTAGGTTGAAATAGATGTTGCGTCATCCTTGCCACCTTAAGCAATTTTGTGAGTGGAGAAAACTTAAACAAGAAGGGTAAATCATGTTTGGGTCGTCCTTATCTCGACCATAACTTGTACAAAAACATGGATGCCATCGAGCCAAAAAAATGCAAAAAGTGGTGATGAGATTTCAGCCCAACGGCTATGGTGGAACGAAGAACTGGATGAGAAAAACAAGAATATAGATAAGATATGTGATTCTCGTAGGCTTATATTTCACAGATTTAGCTTGGCTTACAATGGAGGATTCGCCCCTTATTTATAGTCTAATCCTATCGTATACAAGGTATGCAATTTCGTGTGCTATTATACACTATCGATAAATCAACTATAGCGCATCAATTATGGCGGGGAATCAGCCGTCAATCAGTGCTCAATCCCTCGATTTGGGGAATCGTGTTTCCCTCTTACACCGTGTTTAATCCACCTATATGGGCCGGACTTGGCCCGCCACTTCGCATGTTCTTTGGGCTTCAGCCTCTCCCCCCGTTTTGGAGTCGGGTTCTATTCCAATTGGTTCACGAAATCACATTTGGGCCCCATTGGGCTTGCTCCAAGGTCTCGATATCCATCAAGTGGCTTGGTAAAAATAAGAAGAAACATGTTAGAGTACATCCCACATCGGAAAATCCAAGAGAAAATAATCGGTATATAAGCTCTAGAGTTGAACTAACTAATCGATTGGATTCAATCTTTTAATGTGGTTCGACCCAAGTGTTTTATTACCCAATCCAGTTTTCCATACCCATCCTAGGTTCTATCATGGTATCGGAGCAGGTTTTGACCCACCTCTTGTCAAGGTGTCCGTCTAGATGTTCATTCCTAGCGGCCCGTTTGTCTTTAGCCCAGTTATCCGTATGGAGTATGTAACCAACGGCCCGTGGCCCGTTTAACACGATTGCTCGTCTAGAAGTCCATACCCAGCGACTCGTGGTCCTTTAGGTGTTGGCGCTAAAAAAAGTCAAGGGAATGGGAGTTCATTTGCAAGTGGTCAACCGGTTAAATTCAAAATGGCCCGGTTGTCCACTTGAGAGGGAGTGTTAGAGTACATCCCACATCGGAAAATCCAAGAGAAAATAATCGGTATATAAGCTCTAGAGTTGAACTAACTAATCGATTGGATTCAATCTTTTAATGTGGTTCGACCCAAGTGTCTTATTACCCAATCCAGTTTTCTATACCCATCCTAGGTTCTATCAAAACAAAAAATATAATAACTAAAATAAAAATTTTACGTTCTTTGAGCACTTGAGTTTTAACCCTCAGAATACTTCATTATTTAAGTCATAGGTTATCTGGAATGGGATCGGAAATATCCTAGTTGAGACTCGTTACACAAGTCAACTAAAACAAATAAATAATCAATAAATAAAAATATATAGATTTAGAAATAGAAAATAATTTTGTTAAGCAGTTACTCTGCATTTAATAACAATCTTAAGATTTCTAACCAAGTTTTTGTCTTGTGCTCCGATCATATGTGCTTCTTATGAATGTTTTCTAATGGACTTAATGATTTAAAAGTGATAGAATAGATTGGGCATGGAACCTAGGCCTATGTTTATGGGCTTGGAAGACGCTCGTGAGACTGATCAGCAAGTGAGGAGTAAACACAAGGGTCCAAGCTCGGCCTCATCACTCACGCTCATCCTCATTTGCAACTAGGCTCATTAGCACCAGAAAGCCTTAAGAAAGGTCCAAACTCGGTATGATCGAGCTCGACTATCATCACACATGGAAGAGAGTTTGAGCTCAGCAGAGCCGAGCTCGACTATTATCATGCCACCTTTGCCCCGTGTGAGCGTACAAGCTCGATCTAGTGGGCAAGGTCCTTTCCTTAAGGAGAGAAGCTTGTTCTTCTATAGGCTGGGATATTTTTAATATACTCTGTACTATCTGAAATTATTTGCTTTGATACTATAGAAAAAAACTTAAATTTGAGTAAAACATAGAAAATATATCAAAATAGATGTTTGCAGGTTCTTGTAAGAATGGACCTTGTGGAGAGAAATGAGAATAAAATCTAGCCTTTGGATCAGATGCATCGTGCGGGCATGCGGCTGAGATTGCATCCTGCACTCAGATTTTGAGATAGTGTATTTTCAAAGGATTTTGGTGCATTTCGACATGATGCATTTTCAAACCATTTTAAAGTACCTAATTTTGATGCAATTCTGACCCTTAGATCTCACAATCTAAAGCACCAAATTCATTCTCATTTCTCTCCTAAGATCGCATTCTCTCCAGAACACACACACACACACACACATATATATATATATCTGTGTGTGTGTCTGTGTGTAGTGTGTTAATCATGACCATATACATTAAAAAAAGTATTGTGGAATGTCTGTATCCAATACCACATTAATACAGTGCAAATTCTTATTTTGAGGATAAAAAATATAGAATACTTATTTTAGCATTTTCTCTATGTTTTACTCTTATTCGTGGTGATTTCTTTTAATATTATGTACATTCTTTAGAAAATTTTTGGGAGCATGAAAAATGGAACGAAAAGAATCAAAATTAAAAATGTTGGAAAAAAAAGAGATCAAAAATAAAAATAAGGGAAAACAATTAAGAAATAAGAAAAAAAGAAACAAAAACAACAAAAAAGAGAAATAAATAAAGAAATGAGAAAAGCAAAAAAGAAATTAAAAATAACTATAAAGTTGAAAAAACCAAAGACAAAAATTAGAAAAAGGTAAAAAGAAAGAGAGGAATAAACAACGAAAACAAAGAAGAAAATAGGAAAAGAAAGGAAAAAAGAGAAATGCATCGCAAAAGGTAGTGGCGAGCATGGTACAGTATGATATGGTATTTTGTTTGTACCAATACCGTACTTAATATATCGGTTCGGTATGGGATTTTACGTTGTACCTAATTCGATACCAAAATATTGGTTTAGTTTGGTTCGGTTTCGGTATAGAACAGAATGAATACTGTTGTTTTAGAGAATCATGAATTTTACTCAAGGATTAATGAGAGTACATAATAGTTTATATAGATGGAGATCCTCACATGAGATAAGATTTTTCCAATATAGTAGATGACTAATATACTAAATATTACTATAACGGTCTAACATCCCCTCAAGGTGAACACCGTGAAACGAGAGGAAGTGTAACGCCCCGAAAATATGCCTATCAGTATTAATTAATTGATAATTAATTAATTACTGAGAAGGACCCAAAAATAAATAAATTCTAAAGTTTGTTAATAATTAATAAAAATTATATCGTTGTGTAGAGTTTGACTGTCTGACCCCAACGGTTCAATCGGATTTCAAATTGGAGAAAGTTGAACCAAAAAGTGTACCCCAACTAGGACTAAAATTAGTCCTAATCAGAGGACACACCAAACGGCGCCCTGTTCAATTACGCCGATTCCAAAAATACGAATCAGCTCAATCAAGGAACTCCTGTGTCTTCTTCTTCTTCACTGGCTTATTTAAAGAGAGCCAATTCTCCCATTTCTCCACCAAAGTCTATAATTCTTCATCCTATTCTGTTGTTCTGAGAGAGGAGAATACACTGGTGTTGACAGCTCTGTGAGAAGTCGCCGGAGCAGTGAGAAAGAGTCGCCGGAAATTTCGCCGGAAAATCTTCAAAACCTCCCCTACGCTTTGAGGTAAGCCCTTAGATATATCTAATGACTAGAATGTTCATATAGGTCGTTTCTACGTTCATAAATGGTCCTTTGGTTGAGTTTTTGTGTTTGACATGCTTAAGAACCAAGAATCA